CGGACACACCGTATTCGTCGGAAGCACTCTAGGGATCGCAGTTCAAGTCGACATCGTACTCGTCGTCATACTGGTTCCAGTTCTCGTAGGTCACACCGCCGACGTGAACGCTCGACGAGTTCGGAGCGCTCCACTAGTCACAGCCGGTCTGCCTCTCGTTCCCGCACGCGGGACCGTCGGCGCGATAAACGCAGAAGAGATCGCTCAAGGTCCAGCTCCAGTACGGAGCGTGATTTGAGTGCCAGCCCGCGTCGCAGGCACCATTCGCGTCGTCGCCATAAGCAACATAAACACCGCCGAGACGCTGATAGGGATCGCAAACACCACAAGGGCAAGAAATCCCGTCGAAAGTCCAAGGAACGGCGCAGCAAGAAGCATGATACCCCAGAAGGATCGGTAGTGCATACCAATCAATGGGGTCAACACGGAATATTGTACGAAACGGACATCTACACCAAAGAAGAAGATTTTGGGCTATGGCTTTACGAAGTGAAGAAAATCCGACCCGAAGAAATCACCAATACCGAGAGTAAACGGCATTTTCGGGAGTATATGGAGGATTACAATACCGCCACCCTTCCCCATCCGAAATACTATGACGTAAAAAAATGGGAGGCCGAACAACACGTTCAGCTGTCACGACGAGGGGAATCCTCACTGCAGGTTCAAGAAAGCAGCCCGGGTGGAGTGGACCTGTGGGCTGATGAAAAGCGGCACCGTCAGGCCCAACGCCAGCATCAGTACCAGGAGGCCACTGCGGCAACTCCCTATGCCTATGGCCAATCTTTACTCACCCGTGATCAAATTGCCGACCTGCGCCGTATTGAAACGGAACGAGTGGCGGCTGACCGCTTACGCAAAATGGGGTATGCCCCAAAGGACAATATGGGTGTACGCTACGAATGATTAGTGTTTGGTGTGCTTTGTATGAGCAACACCCTTTTCCCCCTCATGACTAAATAAAATAGTGCTGGTCAAATAATTTGTGTTTGTACGGGGTTGATCCTTGTGTTATATAACCATAGTAGGTCCAAGCACCGGATCCTTATGGGCAGCAGGTATGAAAATGCAAATGTAAATGTAAATTGTAGCCCCGTCCCAATCACGTGTGTTTGTTGTCCAACCAGCTGGATGCGCCACTACGACTTGTTTCCCCCTTTCCTTTTTTATCAGGTAAAAGGGCAAGAGAATACAATGCTGCTGATATACCAGCTGGTGGTGATACACTGCGTTGTTTACAGGTAATTTCCACAGCTACACGACGTTTATATTCTGTATCCTAGCAGCGCTCTCTTTTCTAGACCGCATAACTCGCAGGGAAGTTTCTTGGGTTTCATTTCTTCCATTTACGTTTTATTATACTTTTCAATAGTACAGTCCCTTTCAGCATGGCTGCCCCTACAGACAAACCTGCTTCATCCGGTGAACCCCGCAAAGTGATTCTAACCAAACAAGACCTCGAGGATTTCCAAAATTCCAACTCGTACAAGCTGTACATTGGTTTTATCGAAGAACTTAACAATGCCGTAGTGGGAAAAACTTTACGGGACGACTGCCTGCAAACACCATTCGTTGCCAAGCTCCTGAGTCTTCTGGAGGACATTTCAGAAGTGGTCAAGACCACACCACCGGAAAAGACCGATGGGCGATTTGGTAACCCAGCCTTTCGGGTATTCTACGACAAAGTGAAGGCCGACATTCCCAAGTGGATGACTCAGCTCTTAGATCCGACAGACGATTCCTCTACGGGGGAGGAGGGACAGCAAGTTCCTACTATGGTAGCCTCAGAAATCGGGCGGTACCTTCAGGAAAGTTTTGGCAACCGCCAGCGTATTGATTACGGTACCGGCCACGAGGCCAATTTCATGGCTTTTCTCCTGTGTCTAAACCAACTAGGACGGTTAACTGTAGCGGATTATCCGGCCTTGATATTGCGGGTGTTTTACCGGTATTTAATGCTGATGCGTCAGTTGCAATTTGCCTACTGGCTCGAGCCGGCCGGTTCGCACGGCGTGTGGGGGCTAGACGATTACCACTTTCTGCCCTTTATGTTTGGGTCGGCCCAACTACGTGGCCACAAGTATATCAAACCAAAGTCCATCCATACCCACGAGACGGTGGAAGAGTTTGCCAAGGATTACATGTATTTGGCGTGTATCCAGTTTATTAACAAAGTCAAGACAGCGTCGTTGCGGTGGCATTCGCCCATGCTGGATGATATCAGTGGGGTGAAATCCTGGGACAAGGTTAATTCGGGGATGTTAAAAATGTACCGGGCTGAAGTGTTGGGGAAATTGCCCATAATGCAGCACTTTATGTTTGGCACTTTGATTCCTTTTGAACCCCATCGATTGGAACGAGACAATGTGGAGCCGGTCGAAGCGGAACCTACAGTGCCTAATGCCACTCCCATTATGCCCACCGCTTTGCCTCACGCCCCACCCCCGGCGACCTACGCCGGACGGCCTCTGATCAAGGGTGAAGATGGCCATACCTACATTTTAGTTAACGGGAAGAAAATTCAACTCAACGTTGGGTCAACTCCTTGTCAGCATACGGGTGCCACAGGTGAAGGCGGGGCTGGGGATCCTCTGGCTCATGTCCATGCTCAAGGCCAGGAATTCCCCACCTGCTGTGGGATGCGTATTCCTTCTGCTATCGGGGCTGCCCACCAACACGATGGTGGTCACGAATCGTATGACGGCGAGATGGATTATTCTACCCATCGTATCCCCTTTGACTAGTACTTGGAATTATATTATTACATCCTTTCCTTTTCGCTTAACAATCCATGTTTTAATACATAAAAATACATTGAAAGGAAATCTGAGTGACGAGGCTTGAAATTATTATAGTCACCTTACTATCCCGTTATTCAACGGTTCGTGTACCTGGATCGAGGCTGATTTAGCAGTGCCACTCCTCTCACACCACTAGTTTGTATCTCGCCGAAACGGAAAGGCCTATTGCTTTCCTAGCTTCGTGCTAACTGCTTTGTAAAAAAAAACAGTAGCATATCAAAGTTGGTAAACGTATCGTTGTAATTTCCAGGGGCAATTGCTCAAATACGTCTACTCTAATCGTCACCACAAAATGTTTACTGTTTCCACACCTAAGCCTTTCCCCCTGTTCCGCACCAAGTGTGACCTGGCATCAAAAATCATCACATCTACTACATTATTTGGCTGTTAAATCCACTCGAAATATTCACCTTGGTCCTGATTGCTTTACCTATACATGTTACCGCTCCTATTTTCCATCCTCTTTGTGTTGTTTTACTGTTCTTTTTTTTTCAACCATGCTTTCCCTCAAGTACATTTGCACTCGTTGGATTCCTGCTAACGCAGGGAGCTCCTTATTCTGGCGACGGTGTTGCCATGGCAAGCAATCAGCTCTGGGCAACCCGGCCACCAAGTCCTTGGATGTTACAAGTGTGACCACACGGTAAGTCCTACGTCATGGCTCAAAGTAACTTTGCTCTACGACGCATTATTGTGTACGCAACAAAATTCGTTGTTTTTCAAGCCCAGTCCCCCAGCAAAGGTCAACCCGGCAGGCCTCGGAATTGACTTGTGAATCAGGAAACATGTGTCCAATGGTCGAAGCGTATTCAAACTTGTGTGCCTAACTGCTTGTATTGAAACCTCGCTGAGGTTAGCTTGGTTGTGCGGAACATGGGAAGGGGTGTAAAGACTGCTGAAACTTAAAAATATCGCGTTAAAAGAAAAACTTCAGGATTGTGGCTACGGGGTAAGTGGCCCCAAGGCTCAGCTAGCTAGCCGACTAGCCAGGGGTCTGGCTCACTACCAACGACACTGTCAAAATGGGGCACCCGCTGCCAATTTGGACAGTCGGGAAATTGTGGTGTCTATCGATATCGGCGTTCGTAATTTATCGTTTGTGGTAGTCGATAGTCACCGACATGTACACCAATGGAAAGTAATCGACGTCTTGGGCGATCTATCCATTCCCACTTTACTACAACAACCATGGCAAGCCGCCTGGCTTGTCGATAATCTCGTTCGGGAGCATCTGATCACCAGCACCGCCATGGTATCTCACTGCTGCCACATTACTTTTGCGATTGAACGCCAGCGTTTTCGCACAGTGGGGTTCTCACAGATACCCGATAGTGTACTATTTATTAACGTACTAGAATCCCTTTTATACGCCAATCTACTTCACCGGGGAGCAAGCGTGAGTGGTTATGTCGATAGTAATAACTCAGGCGGCGGCATAACCACCGACTTCTCAATTAACAATTCCCTAGAGAATACATTTAGTGCCCCTACAGAGTTAGTATCCGTTAACCCGGTTACTGTGGCCACCTATTTTGACTATTCCGAGTTAGCCAAATTAGCGGCTAAACAGGTGCCCCCGTCTCGTTCCAAGAAACCCTCTAAATCGCTAAACAACAAGTTAAAAAAGCAACTAGGTGTGCAACTTGTCCAAGCGTGTCTAGCTACATCCATCCAGGGAAATACCACTTCCGCACAAAATCCCCATAGTATGCAAGATATTTCATTGCCAGCCTGGGAAATTGGCAGACGAACCCTGTCACCGTTAATCGTTCCCAAGGTGCTACAGGAAACGTTCCTGAATAGCAAAAAGAAAGACGATATGGCAGATTCATTTTTACAAGCAGTGGCATGGTGGGGTTGGCAAGAAGCTAGACAGAAAGAGCTGTTGGCCTTGGATGATTAAACAGTCCATTGTGCGCCAATTCAACCAATGCCAATGCATCTTATATAAAGTAAACGCAATATGCTGCGATATAATTTCTGCATGTTCAGTGCTACAATGCGAAAAACTGTGCGAGTTTCACCTCGTCAATAAATTTACTTTACTATATCGGGTGTCATTGGCAGGATTATGATCCGAAATATTTTGAGAATGGCGAACACGTAAGACAACACATTTTCATTGGTAGGAACTTATGAGCAAGAAGAAATATTTCTAGTTATTTAAGTAGCTTAAAACTAAAAATTTTCCTGTGCGGAGCGTCGATGGTGTAATGGTTAGCATATACGCTTCCCAAGCGTATGATCCGGGTTCGATTCCCGGTCGTCGCATATTTTTTTAAATTTTGGTCAGTTTTTCAAGCGTGATAATTTTTTGCTGTAGCAGAAAAAATAAAAGCAACGGGTGACATTCTCAGGCATATATTTTTCTAAAAAGAAAGTATAAGAACTTTATTGTAATAAGATAGTCCGATAGGTAATATCGAAATATGTTACAGTGCTAAAAACTAAGTGAAAAACTACAAACTAAATACTAATCGTATAAAACTAATCTGTGCAAATTTTAAAACAGGGAACACTAGTAGCAAAGTTGAGTGGGGAAGTGTCATACCTCACAGCAATTAGAGGAATACCAGTTCTCCACAGTCAACGAACGAGGTAAAAACGATTATGTACTGAGAGGGATATTGTCATAACTTCAATATCCCTCAAAATTCAACCAATGGTTATCAACACAGGAAAAATAAACAGACAGGCCTAGCATTGAACTGGAAGGCTTAGGCGATTACGGTGCGTGGCAGTTGCCAAGGCATGGTGAGCTCAGGTAACGTGTAAGCCAGGCCAGAGAGGGGGGTAGGACTGAAGGTATCAGTGTAAACTTGGGGACTACATAATGGGTTGACAAAGCAATGGTCAGCACGCACTGAGAACTCATGAGCCTGCTGGGCTACCCAGGGATCCATACTACGGGTATCAGGGACGCAAGGTAAACCAAAAGGACCGAACACGTCCTCAGTTGGGAACGGGGAAAGGTAGCCGTCTGGCTCGGTACCTAATTCCGGGAGGTCCAGGAAAGGAGGGGATTCTACCCCAAATAGATCATGTTCTTCAGGGTTATAATCCAACCGGAGATCACAGTCGACTTCGTCAAGAGGTTGTTGTTGAGTGCCCCATTGATTACGGTTGATCCAGCGGTAGGCTTTTTTCTTTAGTGCTTTCACTGCCTTGGCCAATTTTGGCGAGAGACCACGAATATTAGCGATCGGAGGTAAACGAAAAGTCCCCGATTGGCGAGCGGATCCGATAAGGGTTGGCGAATAATTTAAGTCGGGACATACTTTGGGGTGGTTAAGAGTCAGCAGGAGTGTCACCATAGCTAGGTCTTCCTGTTTCTCATTGCGACCAACCTGCGCAGTACCAGCAACTTTGTTGGCGGCCTGCGGATGACCGTCACCATGGCGATGTTTAATCCACCCACTAGCTTTCTTCGCTAGCTTTTGAATTTGCGTAGCCAAACACGGGGAGAGGCCACGAGCATCGGCGATAGGGGGCAGGCAGAACGGCACAGATCGACGAGAGGTTGGAGTGGAAGCAGAGTCCGGTTTTCCACAAACTGCCAAACGGTTAAGGGACGGAGGGGCTGTCACCGAGGTTAAATCGTGTTGTTCTGGACCGTAATCAAT